CCCGGGTGACCCCGCGTGTCGCAGCCATGGATCCGGGCGCGGGGGCGCGGAAGGAGCGGCCGAAGCCGCGGGAGCCAGCGGCTCGCCTGGAGAAGCTGAAGCAGCGGCAGCGGGCGGAGGTGGGAACACGGGAATGGGGAGGGACACGGCCCAACCCGCGGCCGGACTCTCTTTGCCATCCGCCCTTTCCCAATCCCAGATCTACGCCCTGAACCGGGTGATGACGGAGCTGGAGCAGCAGCAGTTCGACTCCTTCTGCAAGCAGATGCAGGGATCTGGGGAATGACAGCCTCGCCCCTGCCCTGCCCCCTCCCCCCTTTTCTAACTCCCCGGTATTTATTATCAAATTGCCCTTTTTATATCAATAAAGTCTGTGCTGGTTCTCTCCCGGCTCCTGCTTGCTCCGGGTTGGAATGGCGTGGGGGAGGCCAGAGCAGGGCTGACGCCAGAGCAGCTGTAGCGCTGGGTGCCAGCTCCAGCCATGGCCCCATCCCGACATTCCCTGCCACGGGGAAGGGTCCTGCCCTCCCCAAGCTGGGATTTATCCCAGGGGGACACAGCAGGAGCCACATCTCGCAGCTGCTCCTGCCGCCAGAGCCTCCCCGGGGATCCTGAGCGTTTCTCCAGCACCAGGTTTGACCTTTGCTTCCTTCCTCCACCCACACCCTCTGCACTCCAGCCGCCGTTGTCCGGCAGCCTCCAGCTTTCCAGAGACTTATGATCAAGTCCTGTTTCCCCCCTTTCCCTGTCCCAGCTGTGTCGCACTGAACGGGTGAAAATAAACCACGTTTGGGATGGTATTTCCCTGCAGCCACGGATTAAGTGGTAAATTCCAAACTGCTCCCAGTGAGTCCCATGTCAGAAGCCCTCTGGAAGTTTGAACCAGGGAGGTCTTCCTCATTTTTGGAGTATGAACCTCCCTTTGTAATGAATTCCTACTGGGCAGTGTAAGCAATCCCTAAACTTCAGTTTCCTGTGCAGAGAAGGGCTTGGGGGTCTCTTGTCAGGGCAAACCCTAAATTTCCTGTTTCCCAAGGATTTGGAGGTCTCTGCTGTTGCTCTCGGGGTTCCCTTGCCCCCACAAAGGATAGGGATTTGGGGCTTCCCTGAAGTTGAGCCTTTCTCTTTTTTTACCTTAGCAGGCTCCTTCTGCCACCTGGATTCAGTGGGAAGAGCGAAGGGAGGAAGCAGCACCCAGAGCAAGGACGAGGAGAATAAGGATGAGGATGAGGAAGGCTTTACTAGGCTCTAGGGAGGGCTCAGGCCTTGCAGCTCCAGAGGGCGAAGGGGAAGACGATGTAGGACGTGGCCCAGGCCAGGCAATAAACCGCAGCCACCGCCGTTGGTGCCAGCAGGACAGCCAACACCCCTACAGAGTGGGAGAATCCTTGGGGATCTGCTCTTCCTCCCCATCCACCACCATCCTGAGAGGTTAATCCCCATCCTTACCTCCAGCATAAACCAGTTTCTTCCAGAGCTGTGACTCCAGCACCCTGTCGTGGGGGTAGAAGCCGCAGTCGGCCATGAACAGGATCATGGCAGCGGCGGCGATGTGGAGCAGGGCCACATGTCCTCCAGTGAGCAGAAAGGTGCTGGCCAGCAGCGCTGAGGCATAGGGGCAGGGCAGCCCCCGGTAGGTGAAGGGGATCCCTGTGGGGTGTCAGGAGTTCAGTGTGGGGGGCAAAACCCTAAACCTCACACTCCCAGGGGCTCATCTTACCACTGGAGAAGAAGCAGAGGCGGGCAAAGACAGCCAGCACATAGGCAAGGGTCAGCAGTCCCCCCAGCACACCCTGGGGCTGCAGCAACAGCGCCGTGCCCAGCCCGAACGTAGTGAAATCGGCAAAGTCATCCAGCTTGGCACCTGTGGGGGCAGTGAGGGGCAGGTGCCAGGTGGGCATCGGGCACAGGGGACACCCTGCAGGTCACCCCTGGGCTGGGGGGACGCACTCACCCAGTGCTGAGCAGGCATCGAGCTGCCGGGCCACGGCCCCGTCAGCCAGATCCAGCAGGAAGCCCAGGAGCAGCAGCCAGCAGGAGTACTGGTATTGCCTGGGGGGGAAACCCCACTTCTCAGCCCTTGTTCCCTTCTTTTTCACCCCATTTCTCCCTTGTTTGCCCCATCTATTGAGGGTGGAGGTAAGCCCAGCCACTAGGTTGGCCACAAAGAGAACAAAACTGGGATGATCTTCACTTTTCATCCTGTCTTTGCCCTATTTCCCCTTTTTCCAGCCCTATTTCCCCTTTTTTCCCCACTTTGCAACCTGTTTTTTCATACTTTTTTTTTTTTGCCCCATTTTCCCTCCCCCCCAATTACTTTGGATGGAGGAGAGCCTGACTTCACAAGTTGGCTAGAGAGGGAGCAGATCCAGGGTGACCCCCACTTCCCAACTCTTTTTCACCACCTTTACATATTTTTCACTATTTCCTCCTTTTTAATCACATTTCCTCAATTTTCTAGAAAAACTGGGGTAACCCCCACTTCTCAACCCTCTTTTTCACCTCTTTTCAGCCCATTTCCTCCATTTTTCCCTCCTCGTCTATTGATGCTGCACAGGCCAAAGACGAGGAGCCTTTGACCATGGAGAGAACCAAACCACAGTGTCTCCCACTTTTCATCCCCCATTTTTTTAGCAAAACTGGGCTGGCCCCCACTTTTCTACACAATTTTCACCCTATTTCTATCTTTTCTAACCCCCTTTCCCTCTTTTTCCAGCAAACCAGGGCAAACCACACTTTTCTAGCATTTTTGCCCTCCCATTTCCCCCCTTTTCCACAAAAACTCCCATTTCTGTGCATCTTTTTCACCACGTTTTCTCTCTTTTCATCCCATTTCCTCCTTTTTTTCCAACTTATTGATGCTGCAGAGGCTGGAGGTGAGCCTGGCCACTACCTTGGCCACAGAGAGAGCACAGCCAGGGTGACTCCCACTCCCCAGCCCCATTTTTCACTCAATTTTTCCCAGTTTCCCCCACCTGTTGACGCTGCAGAGGATGGAGGAAAGCCCAGCCAGGAGGTTGGCCACGGAGAGCCCGTTGGCCGCGTTTTGACGGAGGAATTCCAGTGCCCGTCCCCGTCCTGCTTGCTCACTCAGCACCAGCTTCTTGGTGGACTGGAAAATACCTACAACCCCCCCGGTTGGTGTTCCAACCAGGGAGGGGCTGTAGCCCCCCCAAACGTAGCAGGATGCTGCAGGGGTTCCCCCTCCTCAAACCAAAATCCCCCAAAATCTGTTTAGGAAGCAGCAGGGGATTGATTTGTGCAAGCTCTGCTGCTGAGCTCCCCACCGGCAGCCAAAAATGGAATAAAAGAGGCCAAAAAAGCAAAGAAATTAATAAAAGAACCGTAAAACATAATAAAATAAAGACAAATTAAGCCAAACCCAAGCTTAGACTAAAAGCCGACCCCGGTTAAGCTCTATGGATCTTATATACCTATCGGGCTAAGCTTTAGGGAAAGAATTTAAGGGTCCTGTCCTTTGCCCCCCGCCTTTGCCGTGTCCCAAAGCCAGGCAGATCCTTCATCTGAAAGAAAACAGGACGTCAGAGCAAGACAAACCCCCGAGCCCCCTCAAAGTCCCCCCGTGCTGCTCCGGGCCGAGCCCGCGCGGGCTCATCGCCGGAATGCCACCAGAACAGCTCCCCAGGTGGGAAAACCAGGAAGAGCCACAGGAGAGCGGAGGTGCCGGGGGTCGGCGGCTCCGAGCGCCGCGGCGGGAGCGACCTTTGGACACCGCGCCCGGAGCCGCCGGCACGGGCTGAGCCGGGAAAATCCCCCCTGAGCCCCGGCGGGCGCTCCTGCTTTCACCGGAACCAGGCATTTCTGGGGGCCCCGAGGCCATGCTGGGTGCTGCGCCCCACCTTCATCCCTTAATTGGGGGTGAGTTTGGGATCTTTGAAAGCGAAATTTTGGGATTTGGGGATTTGCCGTCTCTTCCCAGCGCCGGATCGGGGCCCTGGGAATGTTCCGGAGCTGTCGCAGCACCGGATCCAGGCACCTGTGAGCGTCACAGCACCCGGGCACTGCTGAGGCTCCCAAACTCGCTCGTTCCTGGTGTTCCTCGCCCCAAAATCAAAGAGCCGGGATGGGAGGGAATTCCTTAGCACTGCGCCGCTCCCACTGCTTTTATCACTACTTTGGGAGGAAAGCAAGGTGATTTTGGTTCTTCCCAGGTGCGTTATGAGGGGGTTGTGCCCCCAGGGCTATCTCACTCCCACTCCCACGCCCCCTCAAGGCGCAGGGGAAAGGGGTTCAGCCACACGAAGTGCAAAGTTAACCTATTTTGGGGGGGCAATTAATGTATTTCACAATTTTCTGCCCCGATAACCCTAACCTTTCTACTAACCCCTGCCAAATGATGATTTTTAGGGATGGGGGCACCTCGCAAGGGGCCGAGCGGCATCCAAGTTACACTTACCGACCGGCGGTGACACCATCCACATGGCAGCGGCGGCTGTGGCAGCAGTGACAGTGACGCCCCGGCGTGGGGAAACTGAGGCAGGGGCCGCTCCGTGGGGCTCCGCGCGGTGCCGCGTTATATAAGGAAAAGCCTCTCGGGCTGAGTCACCCGGCGGGGGTGGGTCCGGCCAGAGGCCACGGACACGGACACGGGGGGTTCGCAGCCGCTTGGCACCACCGGCGAGGGAGGAGCTGCCCCGGGGGGCCGGGGGGCCATGCCAGGCTCGCGGTGCCCCTGCCAGCCTCCCAGCGCCCCTGCCAGCCTCCCAGTGCCCACGCCAGGCTCACAGCACCGCTGCCAGGCTTCCAGTGCTTGTGCCAACCCTGCAGCACCGGTGCCAGGCTCGCAGCGCCCGTGCCCAGCCCTGGCACCGGTGCCAGGCTCACAGCACCCACACCATGCCCACAATAGCAGGACCAGGCTGGCAGCACCCATGTTGCACTGATGTCACCTGTATCACACTCACAGCCCGAGTGTCACACTGATAACACCTGTACAGGCTCACAGCACCCTTGTCATTCTGGTAACACCTGGATCAGTCTCACAGCACCAATTTCAGGCTCACTCCTCATCTTCTCCAGGTGTGGACCACCCATGCCATGCTCACAGCACTTTTGCCAGCTTTGTAGCCCCTTCGGCAGGCTCACACCACCCACACCCATCTCGTTGCACCCATCCCACTCTCCAGCACCAATCCCGCACTCATGGAACACATGCCAGGCTCTCAGAGCCCATCCCAAGATTGCACCATCTGTGCCAGGCTCACAGCACCTATATCCTGCTCACAGCACCCTTGGCAGGCTCACAGTACTCACACCATGCTTTCTACTGCCCAGGGCAGTCTCACAGCACCCATCCCTCTCACATAGCACCCATCCCTCTCTCACAGCACCCATCCCATGCCCACAGCACCCGTCCCACACTTGCAGCACCCATATCCAGCTCACAGCACTCATGCCAGGCTCACAGCACCCATCCCACATTCACAGCACCCATGCCAGGCTCACAGGGCCTCTGCCAGCTGTATGCCACCTGTATCACAGCACTTGTGCCATGCTTGTAGCACCCATGGTAGCCTCACAGCATCCACACCAGTCTCATGACACCCACACCAGTCCCACAATACCCACACAAGTCCCATATCCCCACATCAGCCCTCTGGCACTGCCACACTCCTGTCCCTGCACCCCACTGCCACCCCAGGATGACTGCACCTGAAGGACGTCACCACCCGGTGCCATACCAACAATTCATGCCAGTGGCACCGGGGTCATGGCTGGTGCCCCCCTCCCTCATCCCCTGTGCTGGGCTGGATCACCTTTTCCACCAATCTGGGCCTGTGCCAGGTGGCCCCAACTCGTGCAAGTGTGTCACGAGTTGGGGGAGCTTGGCCTCCCCCTCCCCTGGAGCAAAGGGCTGGTGATAGTGAGGGGCTGCTCGGGCAGGCCACGTCGGGGCCACCACCGGGAGAGCAAAGGTCCCGGAGGACACGGTGACAAGGGGCCCATAAAACTTATACAGCCTGGTGCTGGAATTTTCCACCCAGATCCCAGCGGGAATTGGGGGGTGCTGCAGAACCCGTGGCTGTGGGGTCCCTGGGTGGGGGGAGAGGGCCCTGGGGTGCCCCGTTGGGGGGTCCCAGGGTGCTGGTCATGGCTGGGGCGCTGGTGAAAGGGCTCTTTGTTCACTGGTCACGCGCTGGTGCCGACGGTTGCGAAGCGACAGCCAGGCAAGGAGGGCCACGGTCATGGGCATCTAGCCCTGGGGCACCCCAAGGGGACTGTCCTGCAGCCTCGGGGGGGGCCCAGCCCCGTGGGGGAACAGGATGTCACTGGGTGCCCGTCACCGTGGCACTAGGGCCATCCCTGTGTCCTCAGGGAACCCAGAGCCACTGCACCAATGTGTCTTGAGTTGCCTTTGGCAGCAGGGTGCCCATGCCCGTGGCACAGGACACTTTGGGGTGCTTGGCACTGTGTCACCTGAGTGTCTGAGGCTGCCCATGCCCGTGGCACCTGAGTACCCATCCCTATGGGATCTGTGTGTCTGAGGGTGCCATCTCCATGGCATCTGGGCACCCGTGGGTGCCCATCCCTGTTGTGTCTGAGCACCTCTCAGTGTCTATCCCCATTGAGTCTGAGTATCTCTGGGTGTCCATCCCCATGACCTTGGGCACATCTGGGTGCTCCCAGCACTATCCACTGGTAATGGTAATGGTGCAGCCCCTGCTGCCCCCAGATCCCTCCCAAGCACAGGGACACACTGGTGCCAGCTGTTGGTGGTTTATTTGCCTGATGCCAGGCCAGGGGGTTGATGACAAGGACGCTGCCGTACTCAGTTGTCTCTCATGGTCTGGAAAGGAGAAGTTTCTAAGACAGGAGGACAGTACCCCAACACCCTGACACCCCAGCACTCTAAAAACCCAACACCCCAGCATCTCATCACCTCAGCACTATGGCATCCCAACATCTTGAGAGCCTGGCACACCAGTGCTCAGCACCTCAGCAACCCAGAGCCCTCGTACCCCAGCACTCCAATGCCCCAGCATCCCTGAGTCCTGGTACCTCAGTCTTCTGATACCTCAGTTCTCCGGCACCCCAGTACCCTGACACCCCAATTCCCCGGCACCCCAGCACCCTGGTACCCCACCACTCCAGAGCTCTGGCAAACTTTTGTTCTGGCAGCCCAGCAAATCAGAGTCCTTTTTCCTTAGCTCCATGATACCCAAGTGCCCCAGTGCCATGGCATATCTGTGCCCTGGCACTTTGGCACCCCACTGCCCTGGCATCCAGCAGCCTGGTACTCCAGCACTCCAGCACCCCAGCACCCCAGCACCCCAGAGCTCTTTTATGCTCTTGTATTGCAGAGCCCTTTTATGCTGGCACTGTGGCACTGTGACACCTGGTACCCAAGCACCATGGCACCCTGACAGCCCCATCCTCTGGTATCCCAGCATCAGAGCACCCCAACACTCTGCACCCCAACCTGGTACACCAATACCCTGGCACCATGGCACCCCAGCAGCCTAGCAGCCTGGTCTCTTTTCTCCCTAGTACCCCAGCACCTCAGAGCCCTGGTACCCCATTGCCCCGGCACTCAGCACCCTGATATAGCATCCCAATTCCCCAGCACCATGGTATCCAAGTTCCCTGGCATCCTGACACCATGATAGCCCAATTCTCTAGCACCCTTGCACCCTGACAACCCAGTATCCCATTCCCTGGCATCCTGTGTCCACCTCTGCAATCCAGTCCTCGAAGGCAGACACACGGGTGAACACAGTGGGTTTCTTGGCAGCATTGCAGCCCAGGGCCGACACGAAGCTGGCAATGCCATGGACCTCCCAGGTCCCATCCTCAGCCTGGCAGTTCAGGGGGCCTCCGGAGTCGCCCTGAGGTGTGGGATTGTGGCATGAAGCAGGGTCAGCACCGCAGGGGGCCCAGGATGTGACCCCCTCCGCCCTGGCATGGTACCCACGTTGCATCCAGCCTTCTCGGCGCCGCCAGCACAGATCATGGTTTCGCGGATGGCCACAGCCCCCCACCAGTCGGGCTGGGTGCAGTGCTCATAGTCCACCACGGGAAGCTCTGCCTGCTGCAGCCGGTCCGGCAGCGACCCCCCAGCTGTGGGATCAGAGCACTCCGTGGTCTGCCCACAGCCCTCCATCCCTGCCCTCATCCATCCATCCATCCACCATCCATCCATCATCCATCCATCCATCCATCCATCCATCCATCCATCCATCCATCCATCCCTCCCTCTACCTCCCCATTCATCTCCCCATCTGTTCCCCTATCTTTCCATCCAACCCTCCCTTACCTCCCCATCCCATCATCTCTTCAACCATCTCCCCAACCATCTCTCCCTCCATCTCCCCATCCATCCCCATCTATCAATCCCTCTATCCATCCACTATGTCCAACCGATTTTCAACCATTCCTCATCCCTCCTTCCACCTCCCCAAACAGTCCCCATGCATCTCCCCATTTGTCCATCCCCCATCACTCACTCCATCTCCCCAGCCATTTCCCCATCTATCCCTCCAACCCTTCACCATCTCTACACCCACCTCCCCAACCATCTCCTCAGCCATCCCTCCACCTCCCCATCCATCCCTCATTTCTCCATCCCTCATCCCTCCCTCCGTCTCACCATCCCTTTCCTCATATATCCCTCCAAGCCTCCACCCACCTCCCCACACATCCCTCCGTTTCCGCCTGTCCCTGCCCTCCCTCCCGCTGCCCGGACGCACTGGTGAGCCGTCCCCAGCCGCTGAGCACGCAGGGGTACCCGTTGGGCAGGATGGAGCCGGCGGGCGGCAGCCGCCCCACCTGCACCTCCGCCGAGAGCACGGCCGGGCGCTGCAGCTTCATCAGGGCGATGTCATTGCTGCGCACGGGGACACGGGTCAGAGGGGCGGCCGGGGGTGCATGGCGTCCTCAGCCCCCCAGGGACCCCGCTCACCCGCAGGCCGCGCAGAAGCTGAGCCACTTGGGGTGCACGAAGATCTCGTCGGAGTTCACGGGGATGCGCTGCTCGGGGCCCTCCCCGGCGCTCATATCGTATTCGCCCAGCACCACCTGGTACGTGCGGGATTTGCTGCCAGGAAAAGGGGGGGTCAGCGGGTGCGGCCCTCCCTCGGCATCCCTCCTGCACCCACGACCCTTTCAAGCACCCAAACGCTCTGCCCTACACCCTAAATCCCCTCCCTGCACCTCTCCATGTGCCAGATCTGCACCCAAACTCACCTCTCTGCCCCTGCACCCCACCTCCTCTGCACCTTTCACCCCACCTCCTCTGCACCCTGAATCTCTTCCTGCACTCGAACCCCCGACCCTGCACCCTGAACCCCCTCCCTGCACCTCTCCATGCACCCACCCTAAGCCCAAACTCACCTCCCTGCATTCTGAGACCCCCTCTCTGCACCCATCCTGCACTGAACATCATCGTTGCACCCACTTTGCACTTTTCACCCCAACTATGCACTCCTTCCATGTATGTGGCAACTACCGTCCCTGCTCGTAGAACCCCGTCTTGCACTCAGGACTCCGTCCCTGCACCCCACTGCATCCCTCTGCATTCCTCCTGTACCCAGGACCTTCCTGTACCCCTACGAACCCTCTCCATTCACCCATGCCTACACTCCTGCATTCCTCTGCACCCTTCCTGCACCTCAGCACCCACTTGCACTCTCCCCATGTACTGTCCCTGCACCCCCCAGCACCCTGCACCCCTTTGCATCCATCCCTGCACTGCAGCACCCATCCCTGCACCTTGCGCTCCTCCTGCAGCCTTTCTGCACTCCCTTGCACCCCGAACTCCCACTACACCCACCTCTCCTACCTGCACCCTTCCCTGCACCCCTCCGCGCCCCTCTGCACACGTCCTGCACTGATCCCTGCACCCTGCACCCCTCCACGCATGCACCCTTCTTGCACCCCACACCCACCCCTGTATCCAGCACCCACCTCTACACTCCGCATTCCTTCCGTGCAGCTCTCTGCACTCCTCCCTGCACCCCAGCACCCATCCCTGCAGCCCTCCTGCATCCCCCAGCCCGGTGCCCTCACGAGATGCAGTGCGCGGCCGTCATCACCCAGTTGGCAGCGATCAAGGTGCCCCCGCAGGTGTGGCGGAAGGTGCCGTCCCGCTCGTACTGCAGCGAGATCTGGGAGAGGGAGACACCGCTGGGTGCCATCGTCCCCCGACACGGGTGCCGCTGCCCCGTCCCCCTGTCTCCCTGTCCCCCTTGTCCTCTCACCTGCCAGGGCCAGCTGTAGGGCTCCGCATCTTGCCCATTGACCACCCGGGAGTCCGGCAGCACCGCGGCGCGGACACCTGCAGGACACGGCACCGTCACCCACCGAGCACCCACCAGAGCGTGGGGACACGGAGGGGTCGGGAGACACCTCACCGCCGACCACCAGCAGCAGGACGAGGCTCAGCATCGCAGCCATGGCTCAAGTGTAGCTGTCCTGGGCACCCTCCAGCCTTAAATTCCCTCCAGTATCGGAAGCATCCAAGGGCACCCCTGGGAATGGGCACCCTGTGCCCAGCTGGGTCTTAGTGGGGGGGTTAAACATTAACCTTGGCCTTGGGGGGACGTGCAATGGCACCCGGCCAGTGGGGACCCTACAGATCCCAAAGCCTCCTGTCCCTGCTGCCGTCTACTGCCTCTGTACCCCTGTGCCCCCCAGGGCACACACCTCTCTGTGTGTGTAAGGGCCCCATAGCCCTTACAACTACCCCAGTGCCCCCACAGCCCCCACAGTCACCTCCGTGCTTCCCAGAGCCCCTACGACCCCCCTGTACCCTCATAGTTACCATAACCACCCCGTGCCCCCCATAGTCCCCATATTCCCTGTGCCTCTGGTAGTCCTCTCAGGCCCCTCTGGCCCCCATATATCCCTCGCCACTCCCTGGACCCTAGAGCCCCCAAGCCCTGTCCCCCCATATTCCTCGTGTCTTTGGTGTGCCTATATGGCTCCTATAGCCTTAATGGGCTCAGTGCCCCATATATCCTGCCCTCCTGGGCTCTCATAGCCCCTGCAACCATCCCAGCTGCCCTCCTTAGTCCCCATGTCCCTGGTGTCTCCATATGGCCCCTATGGCCCCTATAGCCCCCATGGACTATATGGCCCCATATATCACTCCTCCCAGACCCCATAGCACCTACAACTATCCCACAGTCCTCCTGTGCCCCCACAGCCCCCTGATCACTTCTACTCCCCCCTTAGCCCCTTCCAACCAGCCTTGTGCCCCTCATACCCCCTATGTTCCCATATAGCCTCTATGGTCCCCATATACACTCCCTCACAGACCCCGTAGCCCCTGTGCCCCTCATATACCCTATGCCCCTGGTAGACCTCTCTGACCCCCCTGGCTCTCATATACAATCCCCTCCTAGAACCCAGAACCCTTATAATCGCCCCCGGGACCCTATAAATCCCTGTACCCCCGTACCCCCCTATATCTGCCGTGGTCCTTGTGTTCCCCATATACCTCCTATACTGTCCACAGCCCTGTTGTGCCCCTATAGCCCCGCCATATCACTTTATGTCCCTGGTGCCCCCCATAGACCCTATAGACGCTCTCCCCTGGAACCCCCATAGCCCCTATAGCCCCCTTGTACTCCCATAGCTCTCTACTTTACATCCCTGGTATCCCCAAAGCTCCCCCCATGCCCTTTCATAGTTCCTATAATTCTTCTGTGTCCCACAGCCCCCCTGGGACTTGAGGAAGTTTGGGAGCAGTGGAGGACATGGGAAGGTTATAGGGACTTTGGGAGTACCAGGGAGTGTGAGGGCTATGGGGCCCCTACGCACCCCAGAACCCCATAGGAGTCTTCCATGCTCCTCCAGTGTCCCCACGCACTCCCATGACCGTATAGAAGTTCCCAGAAGTGACTCCCCTGTCTCCCCCTGTCCCCATAACAGCTGCTACAAGGTGCTCCAGAGTGTTCCCTCGCACCACCGTGTCCCTATAAATGTTTCTACAGGTGCTCCATGATGTCCTGCATCCCATGTCCCTGTAAAAGTTCCCAGAGGTGCACCCTGTTCTCCCCCTACACTTGTGTTCCTATAAATTTCCCAGGAGTGACCCACGGTGTCCCCACGCATCCCCGTGTCCCTGTGCAAATTACCACAGCTACCCCATGGTGTCCCCATGCACCTCCACGTCCCAGGAAAAGTTCCCAGGAGCGTCCCACGGTGTCTCCATGCACCCACGTGTCTCAGTATAGGTTTCTAGAGGTGACCACGGAACTGGAATTCCCGAAAGGAGTCAGTGTCTCGGGAGCTGGAATTCCTTGTAGGGGTTGGGGTTCGCTACAGGAGTTGGGGTCCCCAGAGCGGGAATTCCATAGAGCAGTTGTGAGCCCCGTGTGGTTTTGGGATCCCTTAAAGTACTTGAGGCCATTAAAGGAGTTGAGGTCCCCACGATTTTGGGATCCCCTAAAGGATTTGGGTACCACATGTACCTCAATGTCCCCACGCACCCTCATGCCCTCCTGAAAATTCCCAGGGGTCCGCGCGTCCCCACACACCCCAGTCCCAGTATAAGTTCTCAGAGTTGCCCCCCGTGTCCCTGCAAAAGTTCCCAGGGATATCCTCCGGTGTCCCGGCGCCCCCAGGTGTCCTCCTGTGTCCCCCTGATGTCCCTGCAAGAGTTCCCAGGGGTGTCACCCTATGTCCTCACGCACCCCGGGTCTCAATATAAATTCTCAGCGTTGGTCCTCGTGTCCCCCCGCAACTTCCCTGTCTCCCTATAAACGTTCCCAGGGATGTCTCCTGTGTCCCAGTGCAAGATCCCAGAGATGTCCCACAGTGTCCCTGCGTCCCCCGTGTATCCCGTGCATCTTTCGTGCCCCTACAAAAGTTTCCAGGGCTGTCTCCATATCCCCGTATGCCAGTGCAAGTTGCCAGGGGTGTTCCACGTGTGTCCGTGTCCCAATACAAGATTCCAGCGGTGTCCCCGTGTCCCCGCGCAAGTTTCCAGGGGTGTCCCCCAGCGTCCCTGAGCCCCCGTCTGTGCCCCCCTGCCCCCCTCGTGTCCCCGTATAAGTTCCCAGGGGTGCTCCCAGTGCCCCTACGCCCCCGCGTGTCCCTGTTGACGGTCCCCTGTGTCCCCGTGTCCCAGTGCAGGTTTCCCAGCGGTGTCCCACGGTGTCCCCCCGTGCCCCCCGTGGGCGCGCGCTCCGTGGCCCCGCCCAGCGGCGGGG